CCTCACCTTCAAGTAACGGTTTACAACAGCATCCACCGGGCGGCACGCCATGCATCGTCAACTCACGATGGATCTGGCACGCCGCACACAAGGGGCAGCAGCACGAACGCAAGCACACCTCACAAAACCCCTCGCCCAGAGCAAACTTGGCAGAGACGGTCTGACGAAGGCAGCAGAGTGATACAAAAGGACAAAGAATCGTCCCCAAGCAGTACAAGCAGGAGCACGAGTCGTAGATGCCATATGTCGCATTCCACTGGCGGCTGACGTTGCACGGGAAGCAAAAGAAAACATCCATCGTGGTACCCAAGTCGCTGAAACAGTCACAGAAATCAGTGCTAAACCCCATCGAACTCCAACGTAAAAATATTCTCGTCTGAAATCCAAACGAAGCCAAAGCAGAGGGGGGAAGCAACCATGCACAGACACAGAGAGAGAGAGATACCGCCCCGAGAGATGCAAACAGAAACACCAAAAACGACGATACAGCCATTTTTCTCATTGATAGAAAGCAGGCACGACCCGCACGCTCAAAGGAGACGACATTTAAGAATAAGAAGTCGACAGCAGACACCCCGCAGGCAGTAGTACAGCAGAGACTACGCCCTTTCGAAAGCAATGTATTTCACTGAAACCCCAAAGAAAAAGTTTAACTCAACCAAGTCAGCAAAAAAAACAAAAAGAATCATTAGGCTCAACACGGAGCAACGACCCCACCCCACAATTATTCCTCAACACTCTTACCGCATGGGGGTAGTACTGGGTTTACAACAGCATCCACCGGGCGGCGCACCACGCATCGTCAACTCACGATGGATCTGGCAAGCCGCACACAACGCGCAGAAGCACGAACACAAGCACACCTCACATAACCCCTCGCCCAGAGCAAACTTGGAAGAGACGGTCTGACGAAGGCAGCAGAGCGATAAACAAGGAAAGCAATCTGTCGCCAAGCAGTACAAGCAAGAGCACGAGTCGTAGTCGCCATGTACTGCATTCCACTGGCGGCTGACGTTGCACGGGAAGCAAAAGAAAACATCCAACAGGGTACCCAAGTCGCCGCAACAGTCGCAGATTCCAGTGCTGAAGCCCATCGAACTCCACAGTAGAATTATCCTTGTCAGAAATCCAAACGAAGAGCAAGCAGAAAGAGGGAAGCAACCAACATACACAGACACAGAGACAGAGATGCAAACAGAAACACAAAACACAAGCGATGCAGCCATTTTTCTCATTGACAGAAAGCAGACTCAACCAGCAGGACAAAGGATACGACTTTTCAGACGAAGAAGTTGACAACAGACACCCCGCAGGCAGTAGTACAGCAGAGACCACACACTTTCGAAAGCAATGTATTTCACTGAAACGACAAGCAAAAGTTTTAATCAACCAAGTCAGCACAAAACAAAAGAATCTATGAGCTCCACATGGAGCAGCAACCCCACCCCACAATTATCCCCCAAAACTCTTAGTGCATAGTGGTAATACTGGGTTGGCAACAGAAACCACCGGGCGGCGCACCACGCATCGTCAACTCACGATGCGTCTGGCACGCCGAACACATAGGGCAGAAGAACGCGGCAAGGCACACCTCACAAAACGTCTCGCCAAGATTAAAGCGGTCGACGACACGCTGCCGAAGAAAGCACATGGCAATCACTGGGCACAAACAAGTTCCAATACAATACGAAAACGAGCACCTATTGGGTGTGCCTTCAACTGCTTTAAACTGGTGACTCACATTACAGATAAGGCAAAACAGAACGTCACAGCAAACGCCTTCGTCTCCGCAGCAATCACACAAAGTGCTATGGAAGCTCATATAGCCTTGCATGTGTATAACTAAAACCTGAGAGAGTTCTAGGAAACAGTGAGTAAAAACAGCAAAGCATACACAAGCCCACCACGACAAAAAAAAACTCATTTCTGCAAAACAAAAACTGAAATATTAAAAAAACTCAACAAAATAATACGTGAAATAGTAAGACAGGAAGCGCTGCAGACACTTTCGGGTCGGGTACCGCCTTCCATGTCTTGAGACGGAAAACGGTCACNGTCCTTTCCGGCGAAGCGGGCAACAGAGCGAAACATTCAATGGATTGTACTTGTAAGCGAGGTTTTAGCGAGTATCTTTATGGGGAATGACAGGGAGGAAAGAGCAATGTGCATTGAAGGGTCCAACACGCAGCAAGCGGGATCGTAACACAGGAAGCCCGAAACCCTACGGTAGTAGTAATTTTTATCAGAAATAGAAATATGAATAATACGTGAAATAGTAAGACAGGAAGCGCTGCAGACACTTTCGGGTCGGGTACCGCCTTCCATGTCTTGAGACGGAAAACGGTCACTTAGGATAACCAGTAAAGATATTGTGATAGGTGAATACTCTGTGCTCGCAGCGGGTGGCGCTAGCAGATGAGCATAGCAATGTCATTTATCGGCGCTAGTACATCCCACCCATACCGCCCATGCCTCCCATTCCGCCCATACCACCCATACCACCGGCCGCAGGGCTCTCCTCCTTCGGCAGGTCGACGATGGCGGCCTCCGCGGTCATCATGAGGCCGGCGACGGAGACGGCGTCGGTGAGCGCCGCGCGGACGACGCGCGTGGGGTCGATGATGCCGGCTTCAAACATGTTTACGTAGCGATCACGCTGCGCGTCATAGCCGACAGCGGCGTCCNGAATACTCTGTGCTCGCAGCGGGTGGCGCTAGCAGATGAGCATAGCAATGTCATTTATCGGCGCTAGTACATCCCACCCATACCGCCCATTCCGCCCATTCCGCCCATACCACCCATACCACCCATACCACCGGCCGCAGGGCTCTCCTCCTTCGGCAGGTCGACGATGGCGGCCTCCGCGGTCATCATGAGGCCGGCGACGGAGACGGCGTCGGTGAGCGCCACGCGGACGACGCGCGTGGGGTCGATGATGCCGGCTTCAAACATGTTTACGTAGCGATCACGCTGCGCGTCATAGCCGACAGCGGCGTCCGTGTTCTCCAGCACCTTCTCCACCACGACGGCCCCCTCCTTGCCGGCGTTCACCACGATCCGGTGCGCGGGCAGGCGGACCGCGTCGCGGATGATCTGCACACCAGTGCGCTGGTCGGGCGTAAGCGATGCGTCAGCGAGCAGACTGTCGAGCGTCTTGCTTGCGCGCAGCAGCGCAGCACCGCCACCGGGGACAATGCCCTCCTGCACAGCCGCGCGGGTCGAGCAGAGCGCGNCGCGTCGCGGATGATCTGCACACCAGTGCGCTGGTCGGGCGTAAGCGATGCGTCAGCGAGCAGACTGTCGAGCGTCTTGCTTGCGCGCAGCAGCGCAGCACCGCCACCGGGGACAATGCCCTCCTGCACAGCCGCGCGGGTCGAGCAGAGCGCGTCTGTGATGCGGTCCTTCTTCTCGTTCACCTCCACCTCAGAGGCGCCGCCAACCTTGATCACAGCCACGCCGCCGCTCAGCTTCGCCAGTCGCTCCTGCAGCTTCTCGCGGTTGTAGTCGCTCGTCTCGCGCTCAATCAGCTCGCGCAGCACATCCACGCGCTCCTTCAAAGCGTTGGCGTCGCCACCGCCGTTCAGCAGCACAGTGTCGTCCTTTGTGATCGTCGCCTTCTTCACGCTTCCGAGGATGGTGGGGTCAAAGTTCTCCGCATCCAGCTCCAANCCGGTGCCCTCGTCGCCAACAAGCCGTGCACCCGTGAAGATGGCGATGTCCTGCAGCATGGCCGCCTTGTTGTCGCCAAACCCGGGCGCCTTCACGCACGCCACCTTCAGCTTGCCCTGGAGCTTGTTGAAGATCATCGTGGTCAGTGCCTCACTCTCCACGTCGTCGGCGATGATCAGCAGCGGCCGCCCGCTGCGCACCACGTGGTTCAGCATCGGCAGGATCGTGTGGATGCTGCTGACCTTCTTCGCAGACACAAGCACGAGCGCCTCCTCCATCTCCGCCCGCTGCGCCTTCGCGTCCGTCACAAAGTACGGGCTCACGTAGCCCCGGTCAATGCTCATGCCCTCCACCACCTCCAGCTCCGTCGTCATCGTCTTGCCGTCCTGTGTCGTGATGACGCCGTCCTTGCCAACCTTCTCCATTGCCTGGCCGATCAGCTTGCCCAGCTCCTCGTCCCCGTTCGCCGAGATCGTGGCAACCTGCACAACGTTCTCCGTGCTTGTCACCTTGCGGCTCTGCTGCGCCACGCTCTGCAGGATGACGTCCACCGCACGGTCCATGCCCCGCTTCATCTCGATCGGGTTCGTGCCAGTGGCGATGCGCTTCAGGCCCTCGCTGAAGACACTCTCCACGAGCACAGCGGAGGTCGTCGTGCCGTCACCAGCAAGGTCGTTGGTCTTGTTGCACACCTGACGCACAAGCTGTGCGCCCATGTTCTCGAACGGGTCCTTGAACTCAATCGCCTTAGCCACCGTCACGCCGTCCTTTGTGATCTTCGGCGCACCGTACGACTGGTCAATGATCACATTGCGGCCCTTCGGCCCGAGCGTCGTCGCAACGGCCTCAACGGCGCGCTTCACGCCCTTCTGCATGGACTGACGAGCCTCCGTGCCGAAGCGGATGTCCTTTCCGGCGAAGCGGGCAACAGAGCGAAACATTCAATGGATTGTACTTGTAAGCGAGGTTTTAGCGAGTATCTTTATGGGGAATGCCAGGGAGGAAAGAGCAATGTGCATCGTGGGTGTGGGTGTTGCATAGAAATACAGGGCAGTCACGTAATGCTACTATTTGTCGTATCTGTACAATTTTATTTTTTTTGGTATCGCCGCGTCGGCTGTTTGTGCTTTTAGAGAGAAGCGCAAGTTGGCAAAGATCTTGGCAGTACAACCCATCATATTATTCGTCTCTGTTGCTGTCAAATGTTATTTTACGCTAGCATAGTGCGGACAATCAGAGCAACAAGAATACTTGAACAATATTGAAATAATTCAAAATATTTTCTGGTTGTGTTCTTCTATGTTCTTTCGTACCTCGGTTTCTTTTTTTTTTTTTCTTGCTTTGTAGGGTTTTGTTGTTTTTGTTTTTCATCGACTGAAAGAACTGGTCTCTATGGACTAGTTGCACAGCTGTAGCCCCTATTCTGCGGGTGCTGGGTGCAAGTGCAAACTGCTTATTCCTTCTCCACCACCGCCCGGGAGTTGTTTTCTGTAATGAAATGTCGTATGGTGTCAAGGTCTTTCTGTCGAGCATTCCAGTTGGCAAGCTCGTTCGATTTTACACTGGCCATGTTGACAAGTGGATAAGGGATGCCAGCTAACAAAGCCACTTCTACGCCGTAGCTGCGTGTGCAAATGCCCGGAACGAGGCGGTAGAGAAATGTGATGGCTGGAACGCCAGCTTCCTTGGCATCTGAGAGGGCAAAGTCCATGTATCCAAGCTGTACCAGCGACGGTGTGTTACCCTTACTGAAGCTCAAATGCTCCTGCGCCAAGGCGTGGTAGTGAGTAGAGAATAGCACTAACGGAGATGCTGGTTGGCGCTCTTTTATAGAAGAGAGCATTGCGTAAGCAATGGCGTAGCCATCGTGAGTGGAAGTTCCACGTCCAAGTTCATCCACTAGACACAGGCTCCACGGATCTGCGTGTCTGAGAATATCGGCCGTCTCGCTTAACTCAACATATAGTGTACTCTGACCCTTATGAGAGGCATCACGTGCACCAATTCGGGTAAAAATGCGAGTCACAGGCACGAGACGCATTGATTTGCCAAATATCGGTCCGCCCATTTGCGCAATCATGACGTTCACTGCAACTGTACGCATTAATGTGCTCTTGCCTGCCATGTTAGGGCCAGTCAACAGGAGTATGCGGCCGTGCGCTGTGTCGAGATGAACTGTGTTTGGCACAGAGTCCCTGCTAAGGAAAGGGTGAGTTAACTGCTCTGCAACAACACATGCCCCGGTGCCGTCGTTCTCCACATGCGGCCAGGCGGTAGCAAGACCACGGCTCTGCAACGACGCAAGATTTAGCAGGCAGTCAAAATACGAAAGCGAGACGGTGGCACTGTACAGAACAGGAAAGTAATTGCAAATGTGCGCCGCAACGCTCCGCAGCACATGAAGAAGGGCGGTGGACTTCGCAGTCGTTGCCTTCTTGTATGCCCCAATAAGGGGCTCAAGAACGGTCGCAATGTATTTGACGCTCTTTGAGGTACGCGAACGCTCTATGAGACCTGCCGGACTCATTTTGGGCGCTTCCCGGACTGGTACTTCCACAAGAAAGCGATCGTGGCCAATGTCACTAAAATTGACAGACGCCCCGCCGAAGTGCTCACGCTGAAGTCGGCTTAACTCCTCATTCAGCTGCACTTCAATGGATGCAAGGAGGTCTGATGCCTCGTCATACGCGGGGGACGTTCCACGGGAGGGAATTATCACCCCCGACGCCTGAGCAGCATGGCGGTCGAAGCAACGCCCAATGGCCTCCACTGCGGGGGCTGCCGCGTCCATCTCTTTCCATAGCTCCAGCAGCAAAGGAGGCGCCGTCGCCTGCTGGATACTGCGTGACCACTCCACCATCTCCTCAAAAGCTTCTACTGTCGAAAGTATAAGTTGGAGATGTTTCTTATACTGCAACAGAGGGTCCACAAACGCCACCTGTGGATTATCATTCTTCAAATCCGCCAACCGTGAGAGGTTACGCTCAAAATCCACGCCAATGAGGCTTCCAAAACGCGCCTCAAAAGTGCTGTTCACTGGCCGCTCACGCTTCACACCACATGCCGGTTCCTCCTTTTCAGGACTGGTTGGAGTTGCCGAACATGCCGCCGACACCGCTGATGACGACGACAACATCACCACTTCCAGTTCCTCTCCTTTGCCCCATACTTCGTCCAATCGGTGCTCAATAATAAAGCGAATAGCCTCCTGGCGTGCTGCAATGACACGAGAAGAAGCAGAAGGCCGCAGAATCCATGAACGGAAGAGACGTCTTCCCCCATTCGTACAACATCGATTGAGAAGCTGATTTAACGATCCACGTTCACTACCATCCCGCAAATTGTTCACAAGTTCGAGGTTGCTGACTGTTGTGGCATCAAGAACCAGACCCCGGTCTTCCTTTCGCTCGTGAAAAAGTATTGATGAGGAATCCGAGCAACCCCGTCGATCAGCAAGTGGAGCGGTTTTAGTACAGTGTTGGTGAGGAAGATGAAAGGTGTAGGGTTCGGCTTCTGAAAGTATAGATTCCGTCCGCTGTAACTTGAGTAAACGAAAGTACTGTGTCATAAATTGACGCGCAGGTGATGAGGTCTTCACCCCAACGTTCGGCTCATGTACAACACCAACATCCGATGTGTCCACCAGCTCCACTCGAAATCCCTCTCCCTCCAACCACTCCACGAGGCGCTTCGAGAAGGCTGCATCCCAGCCTGCTTTCTCAGAGTTCGTCAAAAGGCTGCGTGGGAATATGATCTCACGTGGGTGAAGCTGCTGCAGCAGTGCAGAAACCATGAGGAAGACTTCCTCCTCACGTACTGTCAGATTCTTTCCTCCCTCTATGCCACACGGGCAATGATAAACTACTCGGCGAGAAAGATCAACCGCCAAACTGTCCACGGTGTTGTTCTGCAGCGGATACAGTGCCAAGATGAATACTGAGCCGTAACCACTCACCATTGTGGGATCTGTCAGGGTTCCCGGCGTCAGTACCTCCACCAACTCACGCTGCATGACCTTTGCGCGTGTGGTCTTGGCCGGTGAGCTTTCGTCCTCCTTCAGTTGTTCTACCCGCCCCACTTTGTAGCCACGAAATACGAAGAGTCGTGCCCATTCACTGAAGCTTTGCTCGGGAACACCTGCGAGGCGCATTTTGCCGCGATTTGTGGTGTCGAAAACTAATTTTAGGCCAAACTCACGGTGTGCGATAGCGGCATCTTGGTCGTACAGTTCATAAAACTTTCCCTTTTTGAAGAGTATCAATACATCATAGTACTTTGCCTTGATCTCCCAGTACTGTCGTTCCATGTTTGCCATAGCGTCAAGATCCTTTGGTGAAATGACTATTGACGTCGGTGGACGCAACGGGTCGATACCTGCCAGGAATTTGTAGGTGAAGTCCACACGGTAGACATCCGCATTGTCAATCCTACTATCCTCCATTCTCTCTAGGGAACTCGATAACACTGAGCGTAGCTATCGTCTTCCGGGTGCGGGTATGGGTGTATGTGGGCAATGAGAGGAACTCGTGTTAATATCGTTGCTGGAGAAAAGCACTATTTTCGTTAATCCTCTTCGTCCTGTGAAATGTTACGCTGTGGTTTTCGCACCTCCAAGTAAAGGGTTACCACCTATCACCATAACGGCAGAGAGAACAAGAAAAAAAAAAGAAGCCAAGCAGCAACAAGCTGAATTCCTCACTGAGTCAAACATTAATCTCCACCACGACATAGGAGCATTCGAGCCTCCCTTTAAAGAAGGACAAAGGGAGGAAAAAAACTGGAAACAGAATACCGCATCCAAAACAAAAAGTGGTTGCGCACTCAACACCTGGAATCTCACTCGATAGAAACCACAAAACAAGCAAGAGCGTCAACACACGCCATGTGTCAGCACCCTCCTCCTCCTCCTCCTCCTCCTCTTTATCCTCAACTTCGTTACACAAACGTCCGAACACTTGGCGCCAAGAAGCCGAGGTCGTAGCCTTCTTTGTTGACACTCACTAAAGTAGGTTCGAAGCATGTGCCGCCAGGGTTCGACTCACGGAGTATGAGCTCCCTACTGGTTTGGCACAGCCCGCACTGAAGGCACAGGAATCCCAGGACGCATGAAGACAATGGAGATTCACGAAAGGAGTATTTTCGTGAAATACGACGCCGCAGAAATGTTGCCATAATGCATGGACACATACAGCCCTTCGCGCACTCTTTCATCGAAAGGGTCGAAGGGGCACCGCCAACTGCGGCATACTGGCGGCCAATCTGGCAGCTAGTGCACAAACACACGTCAAGGCATATATTGAAGTCGATGCAACAGTCGAGGACAGAGGTGAGGTAGCCCATGATAAATACTCCGCCTTCACTACCTACACGTGTGTGTGTGTGTGTATCTGCGAAAAAAAAAACGAAGCGTCAAGGTCTTTCATGAATCCTATGATATATTGGGGCACCCCCGTTGATGGCCTCAATGGGAAAAACAGCAAAAGCAAGCGACGCTGGAGTCCTTGGTGTTTCCGTTTTTTTTTCCCATACCATCTCAGCAAATATATATATATATATATATGTCTCCGTACGCATGCATATGCACATCCCTGCATGTTTTTATCCGTCTGTGTGATGGAACCGATTGGTGCAATGCACCTCCCGTCAACTGTTGGCATCTGCATCAAATAAAATAAGCCGTAAATGGTGTGTTAAAGAACTAAAATACTTCCGTGGACACTACGCATCGCCCATGGCACTAAAACGACCTGATATTAGCACCGCCGCCTAGTCACCCGCAGACCGTTCTCATGAATGACGCATCTGTCAGGACCATGGTAATGTCCACCACTGTAGGTTTTCCAGCCACTTGGCATCCACTCTTGAAATTGCTTAATGTTGGGGCATATCATGGGCTCATTGTAAAAGGAGCATTCCTCAAGTGGGAGCAACAGATGTGGGAACTGCGTGTATATCCGATCGTAAAACACCTCGACATGGGGTCCCGATGGTGGCTCACCAATGGGGGAATGATAAATCCAGAACATGGGTTTGTTATGCCAGTCCTTACGAAAAAAGTGCTCTGGGTTGCCGCGGAAAAGCTCCTCTACCGAATTCTTGGCAGTCGGATATACGGCAATGTCCACATCTGTATCCCAAGGAATAATAACGCCTGAGTGACGCCGCGCCCCAAGTGCAGTGCCACTCGCTAGGAAATATGTGATGTTTGCTGCCCTTAACTTTCTCGCTACCCATATAACCGTCTCACGGAGGGCCTTATGCTCCACACAGCACTTTCGGTACGGTCGTTCGTTCGGGTCCTCCTCCCCATCCAAACGCTTAAGGAGATACTTATGCAGAGAACACTCCGGTGTTACCGTGTCGCAGTCGGAGATGTCATCATCATCAAAGCGGTTCCACCGAAACTTGGCCCAGTTCTTATTAATGCTCCGAGATTTGTTCTGCAGACTACGGAGGAACGAGCGGGGCATCACATGGGGGTCGAACGAATAATACACAGATTGGGGGATATCACTTAGCGGTACTAGTGTTCCATATTCTTCTTTACTCTTTTCCTCATCTGCTACACTTTTGGATTTCGGTGACGGCGCGGTCTCCCCACGTCGCACCAGCAAGAGCGGGGTAAGTAACACTAAAAAACAAAAGGCCAAGAATACCCAGAGTATCTCAGTGTACCGTTGTTTCCTCATCCTTTTTTTCTCTGTCTCTGGTAGTCTTTCCTTTTAATTCTTTCTACTGTCGTATCAAGAGTATGAGGAAAACGGAATCACAAAAGACGTCAGTTGGACAGTATATA